CCCTGCCGGTGCTCCAGTGATAGTGCGACTCTCGAACAGCGTGGCCTTGATGATGTCCTCACTAACAGCACGCACCTCAACGACCAAAGTCTGTAGCGCATCCGCTGATCGCTCGAAAAGCCGGACCACCGACTGTTCCGTAGATGTGCACTCCTCTATTTCAATGTAGGTGTTGTTCCGAGGAGCGAAGAGTCGCCTTACGGGATTATCGCACAGACTGTGCCCTTGAACGATAGATTTCTGCGAGAAGAGAGCATGTCTCCAGCCCTTCTGCGTACCAGCCAGTTGTTGCATCCAAGTTTCAACCGCAGGCAGCTCGTTGCCGAGGACTGTAGGGTCGTATGTTCTGGTCAAAGATATTTCACTCGGCACTTCACCCATACCTCCTTCGGTCAGAGGTGTCTGAGGTTGCTCGTTGCCATATCCCAAAGCCGCGAGGGACTTGACCCACTGAGAGTGAATACCATCCAACAGATGCTTGATTGGCTCGTTTGGTGCCGTGGTGTGCTTGGCGGCGACAGGTCCATGCAGAATGCAGGTCCTGCCAACATCCTGGCCCGGCACTGCCTGAACATCTTCCGACTGCCACAGTGAGTCTTTTTTGAACCACACCTCAAAATCCTCGTCGAGAACAGGAATAAATGGAACGGGCTTTTGACCACGGCGCCGGCACAAATGAATGAACATCTGAGTGCTTGGTACATCCATCAGCTCTGAGGTTGCTCTAGCATGCCTGATCAAGAACTCTTCAATGGCCGTGTAGGGTTCATCGATTTGTTCAACTGCCCGCCAAAACCGGGACCCGAAATTGATGTGCATCTCTCCAACAATATCCTCGAGCCATTGAAGAAAGTCGAATGTCAACTGCTGCAGACTGTGATGTATCCAGCGAGCCTGATGCTTGATGTAGAGTAACTCGACCATTCGCCACACAACTGCAGACAGTGTCATTTCGTTCAATTCGCAAGGCTTACCATCTGCATCCTGCGCAAACCACACTTTCTGGAAATTATTGTTAAGGCCGTCGATAATGCGCTTCTTGTTCTCCTGTAAGAAGGCAACTCTTGCTTTCTTGTCTGCAATGCTGAACACAGTTCGGTCCATCTCATCCCAGAAGAGGACTCCCCGGGTGGCGATTTTATGAATTGGCTCGCCCATTTCGGACCGGACGGTAATGATTCCTCCAGTAGGTCGTGTATAGGTCTGGTCCCAGACTGCATCATCTGCACCAGGGATATCTACAATCAACTGCTTGGCCTCAGGGCTGGTGTGAGCCTCCTTGACTGTCATCACTCTACTGCCGAGTAGGATCCCGTCGAATGGCATGAGGGATGGTGCATTGAATGCTTTGCTCCACTCTCCAGTCAAGTAAGGCAGGGTATCGTCGGCGGCACCAAAGCCGCTACCAGCGACTAGGATGATGTTTTTGCACGCTCTGATGCGACCATATGTCTCCAAAATGGGGGCATGGAAATCCTCATACGAGTGATGTCCACCCCCTCTGCCACCAGTCCACTGAAGTATAACTGGGAAGGTCTTGTTCTCGCGGGCAATGTCAATGACCTGCTGGATTGCCTCCACCGACCCGGGCTTAAAGGCAATGTGCTTTAGGCCAAGTGTCTCGACGTACTCATTGGCCACGTCGACAGAGGGGACACCGGCTCCAATGGTCATCCCATCGATCGGGACGCCCTTGGCACGGAGCTCCTGTAGCAGGGGAATCTGCCAGCGAACGGAACTGGGGCTCGCATAAATGATATTGCATGTCACACCCCGCCCTGGAATTCCATTTTGCACGATCTTGTTGATCGCTTCCTCCATAGTACCCTTGCTGTAGTACCCCCCTCCAGCAAGCTCGATATGGTAGCCAGCGTTCATGGTAGCAGAGACAAAGTCCCATGGCACAGTAGTCGGCGTCATACCAGCAATCATGATGGGAGGAAGCCCCAGCAACTCGCTGAACTTGGTCTGAACAATAACCTTACCCGTTGCGTCTCTGGCCAGATGCGGCCCGTACGCCTCCGCCCAATTATCAGCATAAACGACGGGGTAGTCGGAGTCACGATTGAAGAGTTCTGCCTTGTTTCCGTACTCCTCGTTTTGCTTCATGGAACTACCAAGTATTAGACGCACACCCTGACCTGCCTTATTATGCATGGTGACAGCCCCTACACCGGCGCTGCCGCCCGGACCGAAGTCGATGATATGAGTAGCATTTGGAAGAGAGGTCGCTTTCTCCCAGTGTACAGGTTCGCGTGCAATCATGCTCACGATATCACCGATGAGGTTTCTGTCTTTGTGAATGCGCATGTCGTGGCCATCGGTTGTAGCGTAAAGCGGAATGCGCAGCTGGTTACCTGTGATGGTGATATCCGCGAGATCCTTCATAACCAAAGGAACGACCTCATCCAGAGACATGCTATGAAAGGGTGCGGTTATGGGTAGGAAGCGATGCTCGATCTTAGGTTTCCGCTTGCTGGCCGGGATCTGTGCCTCACGACTGGTCTTTGATGGTTTCAAGCCACGTAGGTGCCGACTCAGCCCATACAGACTAAGAGGCGGGCCGGTCACAACGAGATTTTGAGGACCATTGAAGAGGGAAATAGCAACACGAGATTGTTGCGGGAGGTAGCTATTTACTGTGTCGATGATCTTCTGTAGCTGACCCCGTCGAAGGTTTCGTACCCTGAGCATGGGACTAGGTGCCCCTTCTCCGTTGTCTTCTGCATCCCGTATAATTGACTCGGGGATGAACTGGGGAGGGAATATTTCGTGGCTGCGACAGGAGATGTAGAAGAGGATACGGAGGGCTTCGAGAGATTGTCGGTAGAAGTCTCCCCACGTGTCAGAGACAGCAATCACGAGGGCTACGACAATTCCCTGTGAATGACCTGACACGCCAGACAGATAGCCATGCATCTCTCGCGGCGAGAGCCCCATTGTTTGACAAGCCACGATGAAGTGGCACGTTTGGAGGAGACCAATTAAGGGCATGCTGACGGGGGCAGAAAGAAGATACGCCGCCTCTGGCTCAGAATCGGGCTTCTCTAGCCAGTCCATCAGCGAGAAGCCATGTTGGAAGTAAGATTTGAATGCAGGCGCCCCAGCGAGCTCCTCTAACAATCTGGCTCCGGAGAAGACACAACGACGGAGGATGTCGGTGTACGTCGCGTATGTATCTTTTAGATCCTCGAAGTATTTCTCATCATTCCCCTGACCTCCGAATATTGCGTATATACGTGACGGTCCATCTGTAGCGGACTCGAGAAGGAGAGAAGGTTGACGTCTAGACTTGCGACTGAGGGTTCCGTATGCTGCAAAGTATGCTTTGATTATGGGGGTCTTATGTTGAATATCAAGCTGGGACAGAACGGAGTGGATATCATTTCCACCAAGAAAGTCTTGCTCATAGCTTTCTAAGAGAGCCTCAAGCAACTGCAGTATTGCCGCGGCGTCATCACAATGTGTGTCGTCGCTAGACCGGGTGATGCAAAAGTTGATGAACTCGGCGACGAGTCCTTCTTTGGTAGATAGGTCATTCTGTGGCGAAGATGAAAGCACATTCAATGTGAAGTCCTTCCATAACTGAGTTGCTAACGATAGCTGTAATGCAGGTAGGGATATTCTCGTATCAACAGATCCATATGCAACGATTAACGACCGTTTGTCGCCGGCGACAGAGGACGGCCGAGAGATCTCGGGAGTGAGGCCCGCGAATTCCGAGCTCAAACTCGACAACGGCGTTTTGACAGTCATGATGATGAAATGAAGGAAGAGGTGATTTGACTATACTCCAGAAATTGGGTGTCAAAACAGTTGCTCTCTGAAGTGATATATCCCACCACTCTCTGTAGCATGGGGAGATAAGCTTGGCAATGGGGTCATCTCACGATAAGGAAGAGGGCCAAATCGGAGGTCTCGGTCCGGAGAAGCAATTGTGGGCGACCCAGAAGCTAGAGTAGAGCATACAGATAACCTGCAGCGTAAAAATGCCTGTCAGGATCCAACGAGGCGAAGCTGAATAGGAGGCTGTATATGTGCGGTGATGGTGATCTGACGTTCTTTACAGGATCGTACTGTTCGTAAAACAGTAATACTAATTGTCACAAGTATTACGTACACATACACAGAAAAACCAAACCGCGCTAAACGTTCCTTACTAGTGTATCATGTGTAAGGCCTCTAATGTCGAATCTCGTCACTGGAACCGGGCGAAGCATGGACACATCCCTCCGGGATGATCCCAGCCTATCATTAGGGGAGGATCGCTGCTCGTGAGTCAGGAACTGAATCCCTTGCGGGAGATCCTCCAATTGCGGCTGCAGCCGACTCTCCTCGGATCCTTTCGGATGGAATCATCGGTCCCTGACGGCATCTGCGAGACTCATTGCGAAACTAATATTGATACTAATACCGATACTTGAGGAAGGCAATAATCCTGGAACATTCCAGCCCCAACGCTAGTCGCCTTCGAAACGTGGCACACACGTGTCTTAGCTGCTGCAATATAGTGGCCAGCTTCTACTCGTGAAACTCTATTTTCGTGCCCATGGTGCCATAGAGCTGCAGCGGTGATTCCTTCAGCATCGGTGATAAGTAGGTGAAAAAAATTATTGGTTGATGCGAATATAGTATAACCGGGAGTAGTTCTTTCAACTACAACTCCACGGCGGAGTTTCTTGGCAGGATTCTAGTGACAGCCAGTAGCTGAACCATTCACCCACTTCGGACTACAGTCAGCAGTCAGCAGTACGTCCCTAACCTCCATTTGTAGGTTCTGGGTCATGCGAGAAGCTAATGCCGCGAGTGCTGAACAGAATCGTGATATAGCCAAGCTGCTTCAGTGTCAGGTGACACCAGCACACCCTAACATGAAGTCGACCCCTGTGAGGACCACGAACTAGGTATCGATCATTGTAAAGTAAGAGCAATCCATACGATCTATTTGAGACTTAGTCAATGAAAGTACTGGGTTTTGAGAGGTAAATCAAATACGCCACCTACTTTGTTCTCTTCCTAGACTATGCTCTCTTGTGCACCTTTCCAAGTCCACGAAATATCATACATTGCCACATCACTGGTTGATGATTACAGTATTGACCCTTCATGCCTTGTCAAGAAATCTGCTTACAAACACTATGCGACAACAGAACGAATAGCCCTAGCTACACCATCCGGGTTCTCCAACGGAATCAAGTGCTTCACTCCCTCGAGGACCTCAAAGTACACCTCGAAGCCCCTCTGAGCCAGCGCTCCAACTACCTCCTTCTCCACCCGATCCTTATTCTCAACAATATCCTCCGCTCCAGCCAGTACACTAATCCTAACCTTCCGCCCTGCCAGCCGAGCAGAGACCTCATCCAAAGCAGATGTGATATTCTCCTGCATACCATGTAGAATCCACCCGTCCCGAGCAAGAATACTCCCTGTCAAACTATCTTTGATGACCATGTTCATATCGTCACTCGAAATCTTCTGCGCACTGGACAGAACATTCTCGACCGTCCACCGAACGGAGGCTTCGTTATCATATGCTTTGCGTTGTTGCTCGCTCATCTCAGAGGGCAGGATCAGTGGTGTTGGGGGTGCCGGGGCGACGAGTACGAGGCCCTTGATGAGGGATAATAGGCTGTCGGAGAGTTTGGAAAGAGTAGCCAGGGTGACCTTCGCTCCCATGGAGTGACCGATTAGGATCACGCCGTTGTTGAGGAGGGGGGTGGTGCTTTGAAGGTGGGATAGCACCGAGACCACATCAGATGCCATGGGAGTAATGGAGTAGTCTCTTGAGCTGTCTGCGGGTCCTGTGGATTGGCCCCAGCCGCGGAGGTCAATGGCGACTGTGTTGTATGCATTGCTGAGGGTATATGGGGCTAATGGTGAGATCTGCTTGTACCACGTTTTGCTGGATCCACCCCAGTAGTGGAGGAAGAGGAGGAGGGGCGTAGATGAAGAGGAAGACTGAGCTTTGGTGATGGTGAAATGGATGTTGGTATCTGGGCCGGTGCTGAGATGGTGGGACTCCATGGTAATTGATGCTTCAATATGCTCAAAACAAGATTATATTAATTTGATGAGGTAGGAAGTCGTACAGAAGAAGCAAGTATACTCCAAATTCGAAGAAAAATTCTCCTTTTTATGCTCGACCGTTGGGCGGCGTGGCATGATAAGCCGGAATGATTAATCCGGAAGTATTTGGAATTATGAAGGAATTAATTCCGTTTAATGAGTCACTGCTCCATAAGCAGAGTAGCATTGCTAAAAGCATCTAGGAGACAAAGGAATGCAACAGATGAAGTTGAATACACAATTATCGGTATAATGCCGTTGCTGTAAGCCACTCAACGGAAGTAGATGCACCGACGCCAAACATCACCGAGCACATCCAACCACGGTCTATAAGCACAACGCCTGAAAACAACACTGTAGGAGCCCCAACCAAGAGATAAAAGCGCATGGGTACGAGATGTTTATATCTTAAGCCATGATTTCTCAGGATCCATGTCTGTGGTGGTGGAAGTAGTAGTACCTCTCCCGTAGAGTTGGCTGAACAGGCCATTCTCGGCCAGCAAGTCTTTCGGAGCGCCACACTCGACGACGCGTCCACCCTCAATGACAACTACTTTGTGGAAATCAAGAATGGTGTGGAGTCGATGTACAACTGCAATGACTGTGCACTCTGCAAATGCTTTCCGGATGAGACGCTGCATGAGAGCGTCAGTTTCGGGGTCGACACTGTTCGGTAGAAAATTAGCTATCTTCGACCTAACCCGTAGCCAGTCACTTGCTTTGAAATACGACAGTAAACATACCTACTAGTCGCTTCATCCAATACAACAACTTTGCTCTTTCTCAGCATAGCAGCAGCTAAGCGCAAAAGCTGCTTCTGTCCCTGCGAGAAGCTTTCTTCCTGCACCTGGCCGTCCAAGCCCCCAAGTTGCGTCGATACGATGTCCCACAATTTGACTTCTTTGAGCACATTGGTAACACTCTCCTCCGATTCTTTCCCAAGTGGGTCTATGTTTTGCCGTACAGTACCGGGAAGGATGGTCACTGCCTGAGATATGCATGAGAGAGACGATCGGATGTCCTGACAAGAGATAGAGCTAAGATCGAGCCCATCGACAGTAATTTGACCATTGTCGGGTTCGAGAAGGCGGAAGAGGAGTTGGACTAATGAACTCTTGCCACTTGATGACCTTAGCATCTTATGGGAGCCTGTAAGAGGGGCAAAGCTAACATACCTGCCACTAGGACCGCAAACAGCGACCATTTCACCAGCTGAGATTGACAATGTCACGTCATTGAGAATTGGTTCGCTATCGGGTCTATGCACCAATTAGTATTTATACGTAACAATGTGAAAAGACATTACCTATAAGAAGCAGTGACATTGAAAAACTTAATGTCACCCCTCTCCGGCCAGCGCGCCGGTACTTCAATATGTCCATCCGACCTATCCTCAGGCTGAACATCATCCTGAAACTGTCTGACACGCGACACTGCTCCGATCGATGTCTCCAGAACAGTCCAATTCGAAATAAGCTGCTTCAGACTTTCGCTCACATTAATGATATTCAGTAGCCCCAGTCCCGCAGAATCAGCTCCAATAGAACCAGGAGCGCCGACTGCAATTGCAACAATCAGCGTCGCCATTCCTGCCACAACCATGTCAAGGACGAGGGTGAGCCATCTCTGGATAACGAAGAGCAGGTAATACGGCCGTTGCGATGCATCTGTCAAACCGCAGATATTCTCAAGAAAGTTAGTTTGCCAGCCGAACGCACGTATGGTTACCAGTCCGGTCACGGTCTCCATGAAATTGGAATAGAGGGGAGATTTAGCTTCTAGTTCCATGAACCGGAGCTGACGTGAAGTCCGGAGATAAAACTTTTGCAGAAAGTAGAAGACTGCAAGGCATAGTGGGATGATGGCTGCAAGGTATTTTCCAGTGATGAAAACTATTAGCAGCTGTGCTATTGCAGACATGAGGGCTGGCTAAATGTTAGTGGCGTTCTGTATGGGAGGGCGACATTTTGGACACACCAACGCTCGTCTCAACAAGAGCAAGTGGTAGCTCCATATCCACTAGTTGCATGTCTTGACTAAACCTAATGCGCCTGTAAGCTTCATGTCAATGTACAGCGATGGCTATCCTACTTGTTCGTAGTCACGCCAGAATCCGTCGCATGAAAGAAAGATATCGGAGCGCTGCAGAAGTTAGTAGGGTGATGATGGGAGAGTAGTGAACGTACTTCAAAACAGTGCGAAGCAGAATCTTATGCAATCTTCTTGACGCCCGGGGGATCATATTGCTCATCATATGCGTACTTCGTGTCAGCTCTTGCCTTGTCCAGGATTAAGATAAATACTTATCAGCATCCGAGAAACAATGACAGTTCCGCCATAACTGCTAGGAACGCATACACGCCCAAATACATCCCAAGGTCCTTATATGGGTGCTTTTCGTTTGCAGCAGCCCACCACTGGACCCATACACCTGCGAATGTGAGCTTTAATCAGATAAAGCGGATTATAGTACCCACTCGGAAATGCCAAACTGAATGTGAAAATCGCGACCGCGGTAAAGAATACCACAGAGTTGAGTATTCCAACCATTTCAAGATAGTACTTATAGATCGTCACATCGCCTGTCCGACGGCTAGCATCAGATGTTTCAAGCTGCGCGGCAAGTTCGTGCGGTACATCGGGGTTGGACTGCCTCACAATCCAGCTCAGTCTTGCATCGCTCATCATGGGCTCTGGGAGGAAGTCCCCTCCGCTAGGGCCGGGGAGGCTGGAAACAATTGAATCCTCCTTTTCTGAGAAACGGACTTTGCTGTCGAGCGTGATGGTGTAGTCTGCGGAGGAGGCAAGGCGAGCTTTGACATCGAGGTTAGTTTCTATTATTCTCCAGGGCGTCTAAATAGATTACTTACTGGAATGGGTTGCAAGGATGGTAGTCAGATTGTGTTTCCGACAAAAGCCACCTTGACCGAACAGCCGAGCTATCACTAGCTTCTCTGTGTCCGCATCGAACCCGCTAAATATATCATCGAGGAGCAACAAGGGCTGTCTTGAATAAAGCGCTCTAGCAAGTGCCTGTCATATTGATGATCAGTGCTCAGAAACGATGATCTCCAAGAGATTAGAGTGACTCACCACTCGATGCTTCTGACCACCGCTCAATGACAGTCCTTTACTTCCCACAACCGTCTGGACACCCAACGGCATCGACCTCAGGTCTTGCCTCAACCCAGAAGCTTGCGTGACCTCCCGGAACCACCGCGGCTCATAGGTCGCAGGGCCAAGGATATTACTCAGAATTGTTCCGTTCTGGAGCCATGGATCTTGACTACAGAATGCGGCAGACGAATAGCGACACTTCATGTACCCTTTTGTGACGGCTGTCTCGCCCCTCATACCAGCCAGCAAAGTCGACTTTCCACACCCAGTTGGGCCCGTAATGATCGTTAGCGTAGACGGGCGGATCTTGAAAGTCATTCGTTTCACAACCGGCTCGCGAGTAGATACCCATCCCACACTCCAGTTCAGCGCCTCGACTGCATTCTCCATCTCTGTATTCTTCAATTCCATATCTCGGAGGGTTTCCAGTTCTGGGAACAAGGTTTGCTCGGAGGTAAAGGAGCTGAGGAAGCCGACTTCTTTGGTGTTCTCGGTCATCAGGAACACGCGGACACGCTCGATAGATCCAACGGCTGAAATGAGGTTAGGTACCGATTGCAGTAGCATTGACATTGGGTTCTGAAGGACTGAAAACAGAGACAGAGTTGTAAATGCCCTTGCGGTGGTCAGCTCCGGGCCATTGTCAGATCGTGATAAGGCGATGAATATACCAAAGCCGACCACGGGCGATATGACTGAAGTTCCGAAAGCTGGTGTATGTTAGTAAGAAAGTAATCATATAGCCATGAAGCAATGTACTAACACAAGCTGACAGCGTATATAAGAAAGGATCGGAAGCGATTAGCGTATCCTATCTCCTGAACTCGCAAATTCTGTACAAAATCCATGAACCAAGGGGTAAGACCTTCCAACTTCAAGCTTTTCATGGAGTTGATCATGTATGTCGTGACGTCGATTCTCTTTTGTATGCCCTCAACCCAAGTCGCCTGACGACGTCCGACAGCCGGTGCCATGGTTGCTGCAGTAGCTCCACACACTAGCAGACTGTTAACATCCAGTCCTAGCTTCTCTGCTCCGGTGGTAAGACTTACCGACTGCAATAAGGATAGGGCTCAGTCCGCCATAGTTTAGCTCGCGATAGAGCAACCACAGTGCCAAAGCTATTTCGATGACATTACCCCAAGCTTCATGCATGTAGCGCATACCAAAGGCTACCTTTTCAATGTCAGCGCTCATCAACGTTACCGGTGCATATTCTTCGGCGGTTTTCGGATCCATCGAGAGCGTCTTCTCATAGATTAGCGGCACAAGGCAACCCCTCATGAGGAGGATAGTACGGTAGGTGATATGCTGGTAACAAGCTTCGGAAATCTGAAGCAGTATTAGCATTTCGCAAAGCACCAAACATTTGACCGAACTCACCCCTAAACCCACATATACAACGATATATGCACCAAGAAGCCCATATCCATCCTTGCGATTGTGTTTTTCCGACACAGTTTGCAGGTATTTGACGACCGCATCAATAAGAAACGGCTGGGTGAAGGTGAAAGCCGTGAAGCACAGTCGAGGAATGACGGCCGTGAGAAGAACCAGCTTGTGCTCCCACGCCATAATCCAGAGAAGTCCATTTTTCTTGCCTTTTCTTTCCGGGCTTGCTGCTCATACTTAGCAAAATGCAAAAAGGAAACGGGGACAAGCCTACAATTCTGCCACACCTTGGAGAAGCTCTTCGAACAAACTTCAGACTGCAAGGACCGGTTTAGAGTGAAGAGATCATCCGCTTGTAGATCTTTCTTGGAGCCCAGAAACAGTAGCGGATTAACCCACCAAAACATGCGCCGGTTGATCCACCCGACCTTCTCTTCAGGACTGTATGACTGTTCCAATGTACCAAGCGCCCGAGGCCAGGCTTCCTGCACGAGTAA